CTACGGATACAAGTGTTTTTGCACCTGCTATTGCTGTTGCTATTTGCCGTAAGTTTAACATTCTGCTCAATCGTACGTGTTTAAAGCTGTTGTCACTGCCGGACTTATCCAGTAGTTCTTGCAATTAATCATTCGCAGTTATGTTAAAAGTGACGTAATTTACTAGTTTAACCATTTAGAGAGATTCAAAAAGTGGGGCATATTTAGAAAAAATTGTAAAGAAATTGTGGAAAAAATTGTAAAAAAACTGTAAAAAAATTAAAAAAATTAAAAAGTTGGCAATATTTTTTAAAAAATTGTAAAAAAATTGCAAAAAATTTGAAAAATTGACAATATTTTTAAAAAAAATTGTAAAAAAAGCGGGGAGAATGAGGCTCGTTGAGATTGCAAACACCAGCAATTTTTCGAACAAAAAGTACAGACAGCTCTGTTAGCATCTGTTGTTATTGTTGACTACACGATATCGCTGGGATTTGTTCCGTTTGCCCCGGGTTATCCTTCGCATTTTTGCCAAGAAACTGTGTGTGAGATGTGTGAAGTTCGAATTAAAGCACCTTTGCCCTCATTTTTGCGTAATTTACTTTTAAAATTTGCGAATAGTAGCATTTTTTAGATATTTGTCGTTTCAAGAATGAAGTTGATAATGGCGAGGGTCGTATTCTTCTGGTCAATATTGGTAGTGATCTGATTGGCGAGCATAATATTTTGATGAATATTTTCTTTGCTGCTCATAAACATAACATTATAATCGATATCGCCAATACAGGTATTCCTTTTTTTTTTTTTCATTTCGTTGCCTTTGATTTTACAACAGTCGTGGAGTTACATTGCGGAGATCTAGATGATGTGATCTTGTGACACCTGAGAATTTCAGCAATTTACGAAAAAATCTGCAATAAAACGCTGCTGTTTTGTCAGAAAGGTACTAAATTTGGTCAGGAAAAAAGGTATGGCCGGAAAACTTTTTTTTTAGAGGGGCGCCATTTTCGTCTAAAAAGCTTCTTTTTTTTCGAGAGTTATTCTTTTGATCATGTGGCGCTGTTTTGAGATATGTCGGACTGCTGCTTGCGTAACTTTCTCAGGCTTATGGTAACCTGATATCTTTGAGACGTTAAAATCTGTTTTCTCTAGCTGCGTCTT